ACTATATTTTTGGATTTTTTAACTATAAGTTGTCGTTGCATAATTTTAGGCGTACAAAGTTTTGCTCTCATTCTTCAATTCATCGATCCACAAATTTTTGCCCTAACCACTGAAGACGCTTAGCGCCAATAAAAATTATGATGTAATATGAAAAAAATTAATTCTTTGCAATATAAAAATAAATTTCTTCGAAATTTCTCAATCAATATAATTTTTATAGTTTTTAATTGGAAATATTAAAAATATAAATTTTGAAAACATAATTAATTCCTACTTTATTATTATAGCGATGTAGAACAATTTTGTGTGGGACATAAAAATAATTAAATTTCATTGATTTAGAGTTTAGAGACCGTGTGGTTCTATTTCCACTATACAATTTTTATTTTGTCCCAATTTTTCAAAAAGAAACTCATAAAATAATTTTAAATTTTTCTTTAAACACACTAAATACATTAAATTTGGATTTTTTATTGGTTTTGTAAGATAAAAATATATTCATAATTTTTTTTTAATTATGTGCTTAATTACGTTCCACAGTGGTCAATTAAAATGAACACTATAAAATTGTCTTCTTTAAGTATTAAAAGATTTTTGGCTATCTTAATCCCTTTCAATTTTTAATAAATCTTTATTTTATTTTAATAAAATTTATGGTTTAAAATTAGAAAATTAAAATTAGTTTATGACAAATTGCGACTGTGTAATAATTTGGTTGAAATCATCAAAAAAATCTTAGAGTAGTCGTTCGGGAAATTACTTAATTATATTGGTAAGTACGAAGCAATAAAATCAAAAATTGCCGATCTAATTTTGGAACGCTGTTTTTGGAAATTCTTAGTTTAAACTATTTACGATTGGAAACCTCATATAAAATTTCTACTGAATATTTTCACTGAAAATCAAGTACACTCGCACTTATGCAAATATATATGTATATTTTTTTTTCGCCAGAATTTTCAAATAAGCTATTTACGAAACTTTGCTTTTAATGTGATACAAAATTTTGTTTTTATACTGAGTTATACAAAAATAAATAAAATATACATAAATATTTTTTATGAGAGGCAAATTATTTCCTGTTAACATTTGGGACAGTTGGTTTGCGAAACATTCAAAATAATTTGATATGAATCAGGAAAATAAAAGAAAAATTTTCTTACTTAATAAGAAAATACTTCTTAATTCAATTCAATTTTCTAAGCGCATCGATAAAAAGTGTCTCTACTCGTATATTAAAATGATTTAAATTTAAACTGCTTTTAAAGTTGCATTTCTTTTATAATTATATAAAAATGGGAATATTATTACTTCAATTATACGAGTATAGGAGTCAAAAGAAGTCAGTAGTTTGCAAAGTTTAAGCGAAAGATGATTAAACATTATTACGAAATCTTTTGAGAATAATTGTTAGAAATTCTGTTCCTTCGAATAAATGGCAAATTTATTAAGTTTTCTCTTAAAAATTTCATAGTTTTGGAAAACCCGGTTAATTTTTTTTTGTTTTATGAATTTCATATAAAAAAAACTGCATAAAATCGATAGAGTTAAGGTTTTCTTAACCAATTTCCTAAATATTATTATTTGGTTCGGAACAAATTGCAAGATTGGCAAGATTGTTCATGTTTCTTAATTAGAACCGAAATTATGAAAATAATAATAAAAAGTTGAACATTTTCTTTTGAATTAAAATTAAAATTTGAACTTAATCTTCCATTAAAACGATTTTGTATAACTAAATTGCAATTGAATAATTTTTTCTGATATTTTGATATTAATTGTGAATTAATGTAATTCTAGAATTATGAATTTAATTGAGTATAAATTCATACTTAGTGTTTTTCATTATATACCTTATATATATATATTTATTTATTGTAAATTAGAAAATCAAAATTTTAAAATAAAAAATAAGATGCAAGTAAATTGTCGCAAAATTTTTATGACATCTTGTATACACACACACATAATTCTATTGTTACAACAATGTTATATCTTAGGTTTGATGCGCATAGTTACGAGTACACACTACATTAAATCCATGAATTTATTTGAATGAATTTTTAGACTCTTACATTACAATCTATAAAAGAAACTTTATGAAAGGAAGCTAAAATCAAATTGTAAAACAAAACAATATTTTTTAAGAAATTCTTTTTATTCTTCTTTTTTAATGTTTTTGATTCTTCTTGTCAATCTAAAACAATCACCTAACCAACTATTGAACGCTTTAAACAATAAAATAAAAAATGTTTTTCAGTTTCTTTAGCAAAGGGATAAGAAGAAATTTTTGTATGTAGGTATAGAAAACGGAATGATCGACAGATGTTTATAATAATTGTTGGACATTAGCATCATGCCTTTCTTCCTTGAAATTTGCAGCTTGCAAAAATGCGTCATAAGAGTAAAATCCAAGAAAAAAAAATAAAACAAGAGAATGAAATTAAGGAAAGAAATGTAAGTTTGTAATTATTGTTTATGTACCTAAAAGTTCAATGTAAATATATATATATGTGTGCATTCTTGCGCATTTATACTTACTTTTCTGTTAAGTACATTTAAACAAAACAGAAAAGAAACCTTTTCCCTCTTCTTATTTTCTTTTTACCTTCAGTCATAAAAATCCGGGCAAAATAATTACTTTAGTTAGAAATACAGGTAGAAAATTTTTAAAATTTTGTCAAGTTATTAAATACAAGATTTAAGAAATAAATTGAGATTTACAGTTCTTATTTATATTTCTAATATTAAGAAATGTTTACAGTTTTAGATTAGAGCTACCAAATGAACATTAAATTAAATTGAAAATCAATCTACATATGTATTTGAACATAAATTGTATGTGGCAAATCTAATTTGTTAGATTATACATAAAAACTTGCACTATGACAAAATATTTTTTTATTTTGGAAATATTTCAAATTTATTCTGAAGAAGAGAAATTTTACCCAATTAGGGTAATTTCTTTAGGTATTACATAATTTTAGGGTAAGTTCTTGTAGATATGTATTACATACACCCCCTTTAAAATTTTTCCTCTCAAACAACAATATTAAATTTTATCAAAATCTTGCAAATTTTAGAAATAAAAGTATCTTTTTTTTTTAATTGAAAAAATTTGCCTTATCCTTTGAAATTTCATCTAATTCTGAAACAATAACATTTAACTTTTTCGTTTGGTAGAATAAAATTGTTTTAAAAACACCTTGAAGATCCCGAAAATTATACTGGAAAACTAGAAACTCAAAAATTAGAATCAATAGGAAAATCTTATTCGTAATTAAGAAAATTATAAAAAAAATAACATAAAATACAGAAACTATTCAAAAAATTGTCGACTAGCCTTAATAAGAGCTATGAAATATAGAAACATAAAATATGCTATTAGCGATTAATATAATCAGCCCTATGATGAATTTCGTTCATAGCTTCGAAATTCGGAAAATTATGAATTTCATATTCTCAATTATTAAAATTCTATTACGAATTTTCTTAATAGAGTAATCATAAATTACGTTCGTAGTAAAAAATAACAAATAGTAACAAAAAACATAAATCAACATTTCACAGTTAAAATAAATTACTGATTTTGACACTGCGAAATTGTGGTGCTAAGATTCATAATCTCTACGAAAAGAATTTGTGATCATTCAAAAAGTCTACATCGTAGCTAAATTTCTAATAGGGGAATTCATGATAGGGCTGAATAAGTTTATTCCTATGTGTCATAAATACAGTTTAGTCTTATACACGACCTATTTTGTACTATATTAAAAACAAAATCAATTTTACTTCCATAATTTGAAATAACTTTCTAATTTTGGAAAATTTGGCAACTCATATAACAAAGAATAAATTGTAAAAATATACGTTATTTTGGTATTCAGCCATCAAAGCTGCAATTTCCAAATATACAATCATACTATTTGTTGCAAATTTTAACTATAACAAAAGTATACACTAAAAACATTAATGAATGCTCAATAAAGTTGGGTATAGCAACAACAATATAATAGGTAAAATAAAAGGTAAAAATTAAGTGAAAATGGCATTAAAACTATCCATGTTAATACCTTTTATTATTTTACTTTTTATATAATTCATATTCTTAGATTTTATGTGCAAAATACGCATGCTGTACGTTGTTTTTGAAACAATATTATGTATGTATGTCACCTGTGATGATTTTTGGAGTGAAATTTAGAAAAATCTTATAAAATTATCTTGGAATAGAAATAATTCAATGAAAAACTGAGCCTTTATTCTTCTTTTGAAACAATTGTAATGTAAATTCTTTTAAAATAAGTAGACATTTCTAAGACATTAAAATGTATAATGCTACCTGGATTCATCTTGCAAGTAGTTCACAATTATTATATTAGAAAGATAATATTGTTATATCAGAAAATTACAATTAAAAATGATTTAGCAGAATTTTTTGATAATTTACAAAAAAATAAATTGATAATAATGTAATGATGACATTTTGCATGTAAAATGTCACTATTTAATAATTAATGATTGAATATTTAAAAAAAATGCCAATAATAAACTTATAAAATGATTTTAAAACAACAATACCATGATATGCTGAAAATATTTTTGCATTCTGAAAATTGTTGAAACTAAAACTTTTTAAGTACTTTAAAAATATTGTTATTTGAATTTGATTTTCGGTTCTTGAAAGTTTTTGAAACTCTAAGGAGCATTGTTCAGTGCAATTAATTTGATTGCTTAGTTTTTCAAAAAATATTGGAAAAAATTCAAAACTTAACTTCACTCCAAGCAGCATAATGACCAATTAAGAAGCCTAAAAAATCTTGCATATTAGATATAAACAGAATTTGTGAAATACAATTATAATAAAAGACATCACCTCACGTTCAAGTTTATATGTATATGTACCTGAAGACTAATGCAAATCATAATATAAAAATTTTCTCACCTCCAATTTCCTGAATTGAAAATTTCTCCGATGGCTACATTGATTATTATTTAAATTATTTCTGTGGACGAAATTCATTCCACATTAATTCAAATTCCTTTTCAAAAGAATCAATAAGTTTTCTCTCAGAAGTCACCACAATATTTTCCCAATTTGAATAAAGTCCCTATTATTTTTAAAGAAGTTTTTTAAGTTTCAATTTAAGAACAAAAAAAAATATAATAATATTAAAATATACCTGACGCGTCCAGTTACAAGATCCTGACATTAATATTGAATTTGGTTCATTTTTTAGTCCCACCTCAGAAGTTTTTCTTAAAACACTGACACGATTTTTACCATCGATAATACAAAACTTATGATGCATTAGTTGCTCTCCATTAACTTTTTGAAATCTTACAGCAATTCCTAAAATATAAAAAATATGTATATGTATGTGTATATTAAATTATTATTAGTATCTTGTAGCGTAAATTCTAATTAAATTAAAGAAATAAAAAAAAAAGTTTTTGTTCATAATTAAGAAAGCTTTACTTTCGCAAATGTAAAATCAAAGACAGGATCAAAGAAGACTATTTAAAAAGGGGTATATGTAAGCTATATTATCAAAAAGAACGTCTAAAATGCAATTGTTCTGATAAAACTTCTGAAGAACTCATCAAACGGTTTTCACGCAAATAAATTTTTATTATTTTTGATTCACACATCTAAAGTTATAATAATGTTAAATAGTTCCGGTATTTAAATATTTGAATTTTTTCATTCAAAAAATAATAAGATAGAAAGAAATATGACAGGTCAGTTGATTACGATTTTTTAGTATCCTAAGCATTTAAATAATAATATGTAAATTTATAAGATTTACTAATTTCATTGCATAATTTTTCAGCATGATGCTTTAGTTAGAGATAGGTGCACTATTTATAATGCGTTTTGAATTTCTTGAGGTAATTTGTTTATCCTAAATGTATGCAATATTATTTTAATAATTAAATTCATTGTTTAAACAAATTTTCATTGTGAATACATATTAATTCACAATATGTAAACTTGAATTTCTTTGAAAGAATTTCAAATGTCGTGGAAGCCATTGCTATGCAAATGAAAAAAAAAAACTCAAGTTTATTAAAAAACAACGTAATATATACATATATTTTGTCTACACTCTTTGGATATTAAAGACTTATTTTGTTCTAAGGTCAGTGTTGTTTTATTTTTTGTATGAAAAAGGCCTTATTTTTGAAAGAGGTCGTCACTCTTGGAATATGCACATTAGTGCCGTGAGAGGCATTTTTCCAATGCAAATTGTACATTTTTGTGCATTTTGGTTGTGCCGCACCCGACGAACTGTATGCGACTCTCAAGTGTAATGTATGCACCTATTGAAAAGTTTTTTTATAAATACACCATGGTTTAAGCTTAATTTTTGGGGTAAGATTAATTTGGTGCATAAATAATATGAATGCATGTATTTTGAATTTCCGAATTTAATTATCAAAAGATAGTGAGATATAAATATTTTTTTACCTCATAAGAGAAGAGTATGTATAAATTAGAGGAATTTTTAAATTAAAAAATGATTCACTTAAAATTTGATGATTGGAACATCAATGCAGAAGCAAATGAGGTAAAATAATATGAGCAGTGGTGAATTTAAAAAATCATTTTCTACGATTAACTTTTTTCGGCCAGCACGTGTATTTATTTCTCTTGCACTTTTTAAATTACATGTACACATATACATACATATAATATATGTACGTACTTATATATTCAGTAACAAATTAATTCTATATAATCAAGATATAATTAAAACATTATTTTAATAGAAAAAACTAACCTTCATCGTATAAATTCCATACTTGGGAACCAGTCGAACCGTGTTGTAAATTGCAACATATGATACGAACGCGAATATTTCTTTTAAATGCTTGCAATATTGCATCAGATAATTCTAGTGAAGTAAAAATGTGCATTGCTAAATCAATGGAATATTTTGCGTTTTCAATTAATTTTTTCAATTGTGCGTTTCTATACATTGTACAATAATTTAAATTACACTTATCACTTTCACACTTATTGCTTAAATGATTTGTCCAATAAACTTCATTTAATGATTCATTTTTACTCTTTCTTAATAAAAAACGCAAATAATAAACGGAAATTGGTGCAATCGCGACTAAACAAGCTAAAATTTTATAATTAATCATTTTTTTAAATAATATATATTATTAGAAATCATAAAAATCTTTTATATTAAAAAATCTTCCCGACCCACGAACGTTTTTAAGAGGTACCTGTGCAAAGTGGACCGACAACCAAGGCACATGGACTGAAGAAATTCTATCAGCTGTTAGCGCCAGCTGTTATTGTCAATTGTAATGAAGGAAAGTTTATGCATTTCTATGATTGACATTTACATCAGTGTGATAAACTGCTTTAATAATCTAACATGGTATGTACTAATAAAAATTGGTTCATGCAATTGGCTGTTTTCATTTTTTTAGTGACTACTTATAAATAAAAATATTTTCAGTCTACATGTGTACAGCTTTAATTTAAATTTAAGTGGTTTTGTTTCTGTTTTTTTTTTGTACCGAAAACAGGAACAGGTCAAAATGGTGTATTAGAATTACATATAATATGAAAACATTTAATTTTTTATCACTTAAAAATTTTTGGAAGCCCATCTACTTTTTCGAGTTCAAAATAATTAATCTTGCGATTATCCACAGTTTATCGTATCTTTATACGATAAAAAATCTCGGAATACTTTTTAATTTGACAACTGGTAAGATCATATAAGCACCATCACTAGTGTGATTTACTCTGATCTGCGAATCTTATAGATTTTTGTGCACAATATTGAACTAATCTACGTAGTGAAACTCTTTTCTAAAGTTTATAGTAAACGTACTAAGAATTTTATGGTATTTAGAAGTTAGACACAGATTTAGCCGCCTCACAGGCAATATATTGGTAGCATTTGTAAATAAAACAGCACCAAATCGATGGCAAACTTCAGTGCATTTAGTAGACTTGACTTTAAAGTTTTTTTTTTTCATTTGACATCATCAAACTTTGCAGGGTTTATTCTTTTTTATATCAGAGCATTTCACAGCTGCCAAAACATCGATCTATGTTTAATACGATCAGAGCTAAAAATTTCTGTTCTTTTTTGCGATAAACGTACATCAAAACATGTTCAGGTTTCGCTCTATGTACTGAAAAATGTTATTGACACTCGGAATAAAAAAAATTATTAAATGACAGAATAAGCTCTATCTTAGTTGCTTTTATAAGATGGTAGATAATATATTCGAAATTTTTCTTAATTGATCAGAGCACGCTCTAAAAGTTGTATATCTGACCCGATTCAGCCTTTCAGCTAAAAAACGAAAACAACTGGAAATGAATTTGGCATTTTTATAGCTGTTAACCTTAACTTGATTTGGTTTTAATATTAATTATTATATTGCTATAAATTTTACGTAAATCTGTAATCTAATTATATATGTATTTAATATAATAATTAACTGTTCATACAAAAGTTTAAATTTTCTTCCAAAAATGCAAAACGCTTAGTCTAACTTCATCGACAAGCAAATGCGATACTTTCGCGCAGCTTATGCTCTCTAGTGTCTACTCACAGTCTTGAGTCTAACGGGTACCGTTAATTATTAAACAAAACTCTTTTGTAACGATCGCGAGCCCGTATGTATGGGTATACATACAACCGTTCATATGGTGCACGTATGCGGTGTATATACATAATAATAAAGACGCTATAAATATAATATTAATCTATAATAGATCAATATATAAATAAATACATACATATATGCGTCTTTGATAATATTAAATTGAATGAAATACTGGCAGTCCATTGCTTATTTATATTTCTTCTTATCGATATGTGCGCTAATATTTGATATTGTGGATTTTATAAGAAACAAACTTCTCAATTACATAACCTTCAAATAAGAAAAACATAGGTAAATGGTGAAATACTAAATAAAAAGTATAAGAACTTCTTAATAACATTAAAAACGTTTTAATTACGTTTGTTTACTGAAAATAATGTCCCAAGCAGCAGATCAAACCCAACCAAAAATAAAATACGGTGGAGAAACGAAATTAAACAAAACTCAACTAGAGTTTATGAAGATAATAGAACAACAAAATCTAGAACGAGTTCAAAAACTCCAAAGAACTAGACGAAATAATATTATCACTGGATTGTGCTTGGGAGCTAGTGTTCTCGGTATTTACGCATATTCTATGTTCAGTGTTGCACAGGAAAAATTCCTTGATGATTTCGAAGAACCGAAAAAAACTGATTTGAGTCACTAACAGTACGCTTTCAACGACGATAGAAGTTTAATAAGTAGTTTTGTCACAATAAATTTACTAAAATGAACAATGTCGCTCAAATGGCACTTAGTAATAAAGGGGGATTAAGATTACCACCATTACCAACCATTCGAGATTTAGTAAAACTTTATAAATTAAGAGCAATAAAGCAATTGAGTCAAAATTTTTTAATGGATGAACGTTTAACAGATAAAATTGTAAAAGCTGCTGGCCGTATATCTAACAATGATATTTGCCTTGAAGTTGGACCTGGTCCAGGTGGTATTACAAGGTCTATAATTCGCAAACAACCTTCGAAAATAATATTAGTTGAGAAAGATCAAAGGTTCTTACCAAGTTTAGAACTTTTAAAAGAATGTGCTGAAGAAATAATGAATATTAAATTGGACATTCATCAGGGAGATATATTAAAATATAATATTGAAACAGATGTTCCTGATGAAGAAAAACGTTTGCATTTAATTGGAAATCTTCCATTTTCTATATCTACGAGACTTCTAATAAATTGGTTAGAGGATGTTTCTGAACGCAGAGGTGGTTTTCGACGTTTAGATACGCATATGACATTAACATTTCAAAAAGAGGTAGCTGAAAGAATATGCGCTCCCTTAGGACACGAACAAAGATGTCGATTATCTATAATTTCACAGATTTGGACTCAACCAATTTTGAAATTTTTTATTCCTGGTAAAGCTTTCGTTCCAAAACCAAAGGTTGATGTGGGTGTAGTGAGAATTATACCATTACGAGAACCTCGAACAGATTTGCCATTTAAATTAGTAGAAAAAGTTACACGGCATATATTTTCAATGCGTCAAAAATATTGTAGGCGTGGATTTAGTACATTATTTCCCGAAGATATTCGTGAAGAGACAACAAAAAATTTATTTGAATTAGCAGACGTTGATCCATTGCTAAGACCGTTTCAACTTTCAGTAGAAGAAGTTCTTAGATTATCACAAGTATATTCAGAACACATAAAATCCTATCCTGAATTATCCCTTTATGATTACAGAGGTCCAAAAAATATGAGCTCTATTGCAGAAAATAATGATATATAAATTATATTTTGTTTGTTAGTGAATTTTTTGAATTAAACTGTGTTACTACTTTATGAAATTGATGGATGAATAAATATTAATTATACAAAAAAAAAGTTTATTTGTGCTATATGTTCTCCAAAATCATTTCTCTTTACTCCGGTGTTATTTCCTAAAAGAATGAGATAAAAAAGTTTTTTGAATAGGTGTTCATTTAAGTAGGTAGATCTTAATTTTATTTTAGTTAATTAAATTTTTGTTCTTAAAAACTACTTTCATTGCAATAAAATAATTTTACTATTCATCTCGAATAGCTCTATACATGCTTATTTCATTTGGAAACGTTTTCTGAAGCTCAACCATCATATTTACTTTGAACTTGCGGTAAGCATCAATTTTACCTTTAACTTCTTCATTTTTTGTTAAAGCTTTTTCTATACAATCTTTTGTATATAATTGAGGATTTTTATCTTGATCAATATAATCAAAAACTTCAAAGGGTACATAGACATCTTGAACTTGATTTTTTAATTTGTCAATTTCCTGTAAACCAGTGACCAAACTTTGTCTAAAAATAATATTTAAATAATTTTAAATAATGGACATAAATTAATAATTCATCATATGTACATTTTTTGATTAAGAACATTTTGCCCTTGTGGCTGAAAATCACTAACTATGATTCTGATCTGACGTACATTTTCTATGAACATCTCCAACTGGGTTTCCAAGTCTTCTAAAGGTGCTGCCATGGTAGCCCTTGAAAAATATAAAAATTGTTTAACAAAAATATGAAGTCGTATATTATTTTAAAATTTACTTCATTGTTTTAATTATTTAAAATTTCTGAAACACAAATAAAATTTTTCAATTATAAAAATTTATATATTTTCGAAAGAGAGTTTGAATTTTTATCCTTATATTTTCTACAATTAAGAAAATATTAACTCCACTTTTCTTTCCTTCTTTTAATTTTTGGAAAGTTTTTGAATATGTCAAAAAGTTATACATCTATCAAAAAATAAAAACAAAGAAAAAATCCCAAAACATTAATGTCAGCTGTCAAAAAATTTTGTTTGGATATTTAATAAAAATTGTTAATTATTAAGGTGATTTTACACAAGCATTTTTACTTAATACAAAAATTTTTCGTACAGGCGAATTTTTTTTGAAATAACAATTTGAATCCTGTGTTTTTCTTATTTCTTTTTTTTTGTTTTAAGAAACAAATGTGTAGAAGAAATTCTGTTTATGAAATGAAAACAACAACCTATTTGTTTTTTAACAAATGTAAGTTTTGTCAAATTATCTCAAGGAGTCTAAAATATGATGTGAGTGCAGACAGTAAGAAAATTTTTTTATAAACTCTATGAAAAAACTGTAAAAATTTCTTAAGGAACGCTCACAAAAATATATTCTTCTTTTAGTACTTTCGTAAGTAGTATTCATTTTCAAAGAAATATTCAAAATTATTCTAATTCTAAATAGATGGAAATAATCACATTGAAATATTATTTGCGTTCCATTTACATGTTCATTACATGTACATGTACTCATGAGTCTGCAAATGGATCGGTTATCAATCTTTTTTGATGTATGAGTAAAATTTAACCTCAATTTTTTTCTTTTAATATCAATTTAATAAAAAAAAATTAAATATCATAATTAAATAAATCTTAAAGTACACGAGATCCATTTGTTGTAAGTTAAAAATGCAATTTTCACCTATCGGAAAAAATATCGTATTCTGTGAGAAAACAAAATATTCTAATATTACTCTAATTTGTTTTATATGCTTTTTAATAAATACATAAATACTAAAATAATTTGAGAGTAGCAAATTACTTTAATATTTATGTAAAGTACTTTAGTTAGATTTTAGCATTTATTTTTAGATGAATCCTGTAATTAATATTCTTCCTAAAATCAAAAACAAAGTACTAATTGAAATTTTTTTATTTAAAATTTTTGAAATTATGTAGTTATGTACTAATTTTTACTTGCTACAATAGAAATATTACTACTGTGTAGATGTCTCTAGCTGCGTTAAAGATATTTCTCTTGACGTCGCTCTTTCTTTTTCATATGTCAACAAATTTTTGCTTTTCTGTTTTACTTTTGTTTTTATTGTTTTTTTTTTATAATTGCGGGGAAAATAAAATTTATTTCAATTTTTTTACAATTATAATTAAACATTTCTTATACTAGAATTTTTTTAATAATTTGAAAATAATTTGCGGCAATGCAAGGGAATGGAGCATTAGTAAATAACAGCTTTATAATTGAGGATTATGATAGAATTGAAATAGAGCCCGTATCTACATCTCATAGTGATTTGAATTCAACAGGTAAGTAAACAATTTTTATCGATTACATATTTACGATAAAAATATTTTATCTTGATATGAACACAAAAAAAGAATATTTTTTAATTTATTAGGAAGTCAACAGTTTTTAACTGATTCACAAACAAACTTTCGTTTTTTCCAACAAACAAAGGATGGAAATGATAGGATTCCAACACCAAGCAATATGGTAAATGTTAAATTATTGAATAATAAAATTAATAAGCCAAATATTGTATACATATATTCATATGTATGTATAATATTGTGCAAACATACGAATTTTTATAAATGGAAATAATTAATTATCACATTCTTTTTGTTAAATAGGTCAGACGATGGTCTCAGAATCTTTCTAAGATTGGAAAAGGGAGAAAGACTATTAAAGAAAAGACCATTTATAGTCTTCCGTCACGGAAGGGTAACTTTTTAATAATTTTATTATATAATTTTTTTATATAAAACCTGATAAATTTAAATTATTACAGTTTTCGTCCACATTAAAATGTTTATATCACATTTTTTATTAGGAATGAAATATGTTAGTTACACTTTCCTTTCCTTTACATTAAAGATTCCTTCAATATAGTTTAATTTGATTTTAAAAAATAGTTTACCACATAGTGTATTAGAATACCCTGTAGACGTAGATAAATTAAATCATAACCGACTTTCTGTAATAGTTCATCTATAGTTTAATGATTTGGTAGTCCTTCCGCATTTTGGCAATAACATTTAAAAAAAGCACTTTATTTATTTATTCTTAAAATTTTGGTTGATCGTTATGCTTCTATTGAAGTGTTAGGAAATAGCAATAGCTGAATGAGATCGTTAATTTTTCGAACTCCCTTTTGTTATCCTAGGAGCTAGGTAAAAGAACATAGTTTTTAATAAACAATTGGTATTTATTTTTTGTCGCATAATATGGCAGTTTTAATGTAAATCATTCGATAAATCAAAAATTTTTTTTCCACTCTCTTTTTTTAACCCTTATTTTACCTCAAATTCTGTTTTTGCTATTCTTTTTTTTCTGTTGTAGAATAAAAGTAGAATTTTCTGTTATATATTAGATTTAATTTGAATTTCTTTCATCATTTATATTTAAGTATTTGCCTTAGATAATCAATTATTGGGAACTCCAAACGAAATTGAAATAGATCGTTTAGCTAACGAAATTGAACAAAACGAATCCTTAATGGAAGATAGTCCCCAAGGAAAACAAATGCGTATGTAAGTTGTGAAAATTAAGTTGAAAATATTTTTAAAACATATCACATAGTACTCGTAGTGTGAATAATTTTTCTTCCTATTACAAATTTTAGGGAAACAATACGAGCACTTCCGCATTCTTTAACCGCTAAAAGGAGATTAAAAGAAAAGTTGGCAGTTTCTGTGACACAAAATGCCTCAAAAGTATCAATTGGGTTTTTCAGAAAATATACTTCTAGGACTAAATATTTATTAGTAAAATTTTATAATAGATTAAGAGGTTTTCTTAGCAGTATTGAGCTATGGTATGATTCTATGAAAGAAATTGAAGGTCACTTTGGTAGTGGCGTTGGAACATATTTTAAATTTTTAAGATGGCTGTTTATGTTGGATCTATTTCTTCTTGTTTTCACATTTTCATTTATTAGTTTTCCAGAAATTTTGTATGATATATACGAAAATAATACAGAAATTCAATCAAAAGATTTATTTGAAATTGAAGATTTATTTACAGCAGAGGTAAAAATAAAAATAAACCTCAATTATAAATTCTATTTTAAAAAATTTAAATACTTTTTTAATGTTTTAAGGGATACATTAAGTCTTCCATATTATTCTATGGTGCATATACAAATACAACATTCAGTATTCCTGGAACATCATATACATACAGTTTACCTCATGCTTATTATATGACAAATTTGTGCCTTTATCTATTTACATTTATAATCATATCATCAAGTATGGCTCGTTCATATAGAAGAAGTTTTATTGAAACTTCCGGTGGTATAAAGCCAATGTATGCTCATAAAATATTTTGTTCCTGGGATTTCAGTATTTCAAATTTAAAAGCAGCTAAATTAAAAAAATCTTCCATTTTTACTGAATTAAAAGAGACTTTAAGTGAATTAGAACAACCAAAAATTGAATATTCAAAAATGTGGCGATTGTGGATTTTTTGTTCACAATTAACTGCACATTTATTAGTTTGTGGAATGATTGCTGGGCTTGGTGTAGCTATGTGGATCTTATTACAGGTGTTCTTTTGTTAATAGCATGTTATAAATATTTTTTTTTATATTATTAATTTACATAACTTAAATTTTAGAATTTTGCAAAAGATGATGAATCTACAGCATGGGAAACATTGTATTTAGCCATTGCTGTTAATATTACAATGTTAGTTTTACAAAGTTTCTTTGCGTGGATATCAAAGTGAGTTTTGAATTAAGAATAATTCAAATTACAAAAAAAAACTTATTTTATACAAAATTCAAATATTTTTAGAATGGAAGATTATGAAACTCCCAGGCGAACTCTGCATATAACACTTATGAGAAATTTTTTACTTGAGGCTGTAATAATTGGTGTTTTAATTTATTTCTGGTTAACAAAAGATTATAAAGGAGTAATAAAAAAATTATTTTGTCATAAAAAAACTTACAATTAATTTTTTACAATTCTAGTGCTGGGAAACGTCCGTTGGTCAAGAAATATATCGGCTAATTATTGTTGATTTTATAATATCCGGTTTAGGCTTACCATTTGTTCAATTATTACAAGTTCTTTTGTTCAAGTATAACAATTTTCGGAATATATTTGCTAAATTTTTATATGTATTTGTAATTTTAGGAAATTTTGGCCTTCAATGTCTAAGCCAAGTTTTGATATTTCAAGAAAATCATTGGGACTGGTTTTTAATCAGACTCTTTTATGGGTTGGGTTATTGTTTTCTCCAATGCTATCAGCTGTGGTCACTTTAAAGATGATTAGTAATTTTTACATAATGAAGTATACATTAATACATTTAAGTAAATCGCCAAAACATATGTGGAAATCAGCACAAACCCAAACGTTATATTTAGTTTTTACATTTTTATCGCTTTTAGGCGTAATTGTATCACTTGGCTATATAATGACGCAGTAAGTAAATTTGAGTATTTTGTTTAAAAGTAAAATTTTTTCTTAGAAATAAAATTTTTGAATCTAAAACAATATTTAATTTTTTTTTAGAGTAAAAATAAGTGAAAAATGTGGACCATTCCGAGAGCATCAATTTATGTTTCAAATATTTATTGATGGTGTTTTACAACTTAAACAAAATAGTTGGGTGTGGCGTGCTATAATGACAGTAACAAGACCAGCTGTATTAGGTGGAATACTTTTAACAATGGCTGTTGTTGCATATTACTTAAGGGCCAAATCTAAGGCTCGAGGTACAATGGTTAAATTATTAAAGGATATGTTATATTTGGAGGCAAAAGACAAAGAATTTTTGCTTATGAACATTGCCCGTATTACACACAACCGAGAATGGTTATTTATTGATGAAGATATACAAAATGATATACCAGAAAATAATTTTCAAGATTATGCTGAATCAAGTTCCACGTGGCGATATCGAAAAAATAATATGCCAAATAGAAGTGAAACTATTTTAAGAAGTCGTTTTATTTAATCAAATCTCTTAATTATGAAATTTAGGAGGTTGAAAATTAAACTTAAAAATGAAAGCGTATTAATATTTCAGTATATTAATACTGAAATTAAAGTATTCACTTACATATGTATTAATCTTATAAATCATTTAATAATTTATTTGTTTGTTATGTAATATAAATTTTAATAGAATTTTTGCTAAAATAATTATATACATATATTTTTTGAAATATAGATAAATTTACATTATACAATTTTCAAATAAATACATAATATCATAACATTGTTCTTATAATTTTTTTTTTCATTTTATTTCAATAAAAAATATTATTACTGAGTAGCAAAGTAAATAAATAAGTAATTACTATGATGAGTTAAAGGCCGAGTAATTTATAATTTTTCATTTTCAAAATCCACAATTGAAACCTGAACAATTCTATTTCCGTGGTAATTTTGTTCTTTAATTTAACATATCAATTTTTATAATTTATTCCATTTAAATAGATACAAATATTTTGTTTCTTTTTTCTTAATGATTTTATATTTAGATAAACGGTTAAAACTAACAATTCGAAATTAACGAAAAAAGAAAGTTCGGTAGTTTTTTTAACATTAACATAATCTTCGAAAAAATTCTTGACAGTAAACTTTACAAAACCGAACACAATGGTCCTTTAAGGAATAATATTATCCATTGTGTTTTTCTTATATGCAAAATAAAATTAAAAATATATTGTGAATATTATTAAGTTTTTGACTTTTTTCAAGTAAATGAAGTAAATGTTTTGAAAAAATTCACACAATACTATTTTAATTCCTGCTCGCAAAATTGAACGGAAAAAAATACGTCAAATAGTTTAACTCTGAGTTGTGCACAATTACACATCGTAAAAGCTTTTTCAAATTAACTGATTGGAGAATATCGTATTTCGTATTCATACTCATACTTCATGCTTTTTGCTAATGGTTAAATTCGTTAAATAATAAGATCTGCTCTATAATATCAACATTTGGAAATGTGACGTCATTAGGGAGAATTTTTTTTTATTTTTTTATTTATATTAAAATTTCTTAAAATTTAAGTCTTAAAAAAATAGTTTAAATATAAGTGTAATAAAGAAATGTCATTCGTAAAAAATTTTGTAGTATTAAAAATAATCATACCGTAAAACTAATATATTTTTATTTATTTTATTAAATACAATGTTTTTATTACGAAATTTTACATATAAGTTCAGTGGCAAGTTTGTGTAATCCGTTTTCTGTAAATTCATTCTAAAAGTATTTTAAGTTTCCAAAAACACGATATCTACATTTTCGCTATTTCGAGTAAAGCATGATTGAAATTTTTTTTGTATTATTTTTGTTTTACTAAAACATGATTTAGTTACCATATTGTAAAAAGTCAACATTCTAAAATATTGTTACTAAATATTGCATAGTATATATATTTTTTTATATTATAGAAGATGTATACTTTTTCCAATTGCAATTTGTATTAGTCAGAACTATAACCGTCGACGATAAATGAGAACGATGCCGACAACGACTACTTATTATTACAAAAAGAAATTTTCGGTGTCGTTGAATTAAATAAATTTTAATTTAGTTGCTGTATTTAAAAATTTGACAATCGGAACTGAGTGGAACAGGAAGACATTTGATTGTTAAGCTGTATGTGAATTTATTAATAATCAAAAACAGAGATCTTTTGTGTAAACAATGGTATCAAATTAATGTAGTTAATGAGATTTTAATATGTACATATATTTACAAATTAATAAAAATAGGTTACTGAAGCGGTTTTTACATTCTACATCACGAATAAATGTTATTATATATAATTTTTTTTTAACTTTAATTGATTTTACAAAAGTACCAAAGTAAATATTGGAGACAGCCAAACGGTAAGCATAACTCATTTTTCACAAATATATTTTTTGCTTTAAACAAATTGCTGCTGATCCGTTATCGTTCACATTGAGTTTTCTTTAGCAAAAATGTAGATATTCATATAATGTTCTGATAGAAAACCCTATATATATCTATATACATTGTTCATACATATATGTATGTATGTATTTTGTTCTATAAGATATTAAAATTGAAAATAATAAAAACAAAGCATTCTTTTAAAATTCTTTATGTTTCGTTCTTTTGTAGCTTTCAATAAAATTAACAATTTCAACGAATTCAAATTCAATTCGATTCAATAAAAAGTGGGAGAATTGTTTTTGTGTATTTTGTTGAATTGTAAGGAAAAAACAGCAAAAATGTGAGAAAATTGCACGCAATAAATAAAAACCATAAAAAGTACATAAAAAGTTTTTTTTTTCTTTCAATTAATAATTTTCATGTTTCAACTTTTTTTTTAGTTAGTAGCTTTTTGCAAGCTGTCGTGAAAACAGTTATTTTAATAAAAGTGAAAATATTATTGTGACAAACAAGGTGTCTGTGTTTTTTTTTATAAAAATAAATAATTCCATAATCTGTGTATTCTTATTGTAAAAAAAAGAAAATTAAAAAATAGTTTTTAATATTGTAATTTTTTTTTTGAGAATTTAAAAAAAAAAGATATGTAGTTTTTGTTTTATTAAAATTAAATATTTATGTAGAAAAAAAAATTATACATGCACAGATGTTCACATACATATGTATGTATGTATTTAGGTATATATTTTATATTCAAGTTTAATATTATAAAGTAATGTAAATTTTTTTCAAACAAGCTCTACGTTCTTTAAGAAAATACAAATTTTTTTTAACAATTGAATAGTTTAATTAATCTTATTTTTAAAAAATAATATATATATACATATATTTACATAATTGAGTCTCAATAAATTAAACATCAAATAATTTTGAAAATTATTTTCATACAACATAGAGGAAATATAATTGAATTGGTGATTTTATAAGACTATATACATAAATAATATTAAAATAATTTTACTGCTTAAGGACTTAGATACCTACCTTCATACATACATATATATACGGATATAATAATAAAACATTTAAGTGGATATTAATAAAATAAGAAAAAGAAGGAAATAAATACTTATTGAAAGTAAAACAACAACAATATGAGCTCACGTCCAAGTAGCTCTAAACCACAACGAATTTATGGTTTCGATTTGGATATGGAAGTAGATTTTCCAGAAACTGAAAGTAAGTAAAATAAATAATTATATACCTTTCTACAAACTATTTACATACATATATAATGTATAAATATAATTTATTGTAGATTATTGTTGGTATTAAAGAGTTCTTCTAAATTTCTAAAGTTTGAATATAAGAAAAACAAATTCAGAATATATTTTTCTTAATTTTATTAATCTTATAAGGATTCTAAGGAGATTTAAAATCTATACAATTTGTGCATACACAGGTATTATCATATATGTATGTTTGTACTTACGATTCTAACAAAAGCCTCATTTTATGTTGCAGCATAATTTTTACATTTTAATTCTAATGCAAAATGTTACACTAGAATTCCGCATTTTGATAAAAATATATGCTTACTTATTCATTGTTATTAAATTTTATGCGAATAGGCAGGTACCTACTTATATTTCACAAATTTAATCTATACAATATTTAGGTATTAATATTAATATTATGTATTTTTGGTTTGTTAGAAGTACGCATATGCAATAGTTATTCCACATAAACTTATTTTAAATCATTTTCTTATAAAGTATGAATTTAAAACTAACCTAGTAGCTACCGTGCTTAATAAATTGTCGGCCAAAAATTTGAAAAATACGTAATACATTTATATGCGTGTATGTACTTCTATTATAACTAGCAATATGTTATATTGTACCATATATTTAAACTTAAATTTTACCAAATTTCATCTACATCATGTACACATTCTACATGAACGAAAAATGTGATCTGGTATATAGGCATAAGTAGTTAGTACCTACATACATATATAATGTACATATTTATTAGAGAATGGGGTCAGTTTCTTTTAAAATTGTTTGGCCGGATGTGAAAGATTAAGTATACTTTATTAAAACTCTTGAAATATTGAAAAAAGATCAATTAACCTACCCAAAAAACACAAAAAACGAAAAAGAATTTTTTATTTTTACTTTTATTTTTATCAACATTAGCAATAATCTTACTTAATTAATATAAGTATAATAAATGCCAACATAAAACGCGATAATTATTAATCTCAGTATATTTAATAAAAAAATAAATCAATTTTTATTTTAATCCGATAACTAATATTTTTTTTTTAATAAATTATACAAACAATATACTTTTGTGGTGCCCGTATTAATTACAATACGTTAAAATACTTACAAATATAAAAAAATTTAATTCAAATATTTGTTTGAACTCTCATTAAGAGATCTGATAGTATACAAAATTTACATGCTTACCTGCTTATGTTTGAATATATTAATTTAAATAATATTGTTAAATATTTTATTGAGTACATACAAATGAACTGTGTATTAAATTTTTAGAATTACCGCATCACTCCATACTAGAGATTGTGATCGCGAAGTCCTGTCTCGAGAATTTGTATTATTTTGGGTTTCTCATTCTTGAGAATTGTTATTTTCTAGATTCTGATTTCTCGAGAAAAAATTAATTATTTCTCGAGAATTTTTTTAAAATTCACATAAACTAAATACTTATGCAACAAAAAAATAAAAAAATTTGAGTTTTATAGAGCAATCTGGTTGCTGGAACTAGAACTCTTTCAAAAACTTTGTTTTTAGTACATTTTGGTTTCCTGGGGAATTATGTATATAATAAACTGTGTTGGACATTAGAATTGAATCTTAAGAGGAAGTTAGAAGATACTATCCGTCAAACACTTAAACCTACTTAAATCACAATTGATGATGACTTCCGTACTTTACTGAAGGAAATAAATATTTATGAAGCTACTGGAAATTTTACAAATAATTTACTGCAGCTGAAAAATGCTTTAAGTACGATTGGACACAAAACGAAAAAAATTTTTCGATATTCAGTAATTTCACTTCGAAAAAGAGAGGAAGATTATTTGATAAGTTCATTGAATTGTTTGTTTTTTGAAAAATTATTTCTCAAAATATGATTAAATTTTTTAATAATTTATCTTAATTTAACAATATTAATTTTTTTATGTTATGCAGTATTCAAAAGTTACAATGTATTATTTTTGTTATTTTTTTTAACATACTTAAGGATGTGTTTATTTTAAGTTTTGTTTTTAATATAACAAAAAAAATTCTAATGGAAACTTCTGTATTTAATTTGTTGAAAATTCGTGAGAATTCTCGAGAAAATATTAACAAATTTCTCATATCTCGAGAATTTAAAAATTGCCATAATGAAAATTCTCATTTCTCGAGATTATAAAAAGTACGAGAAATTACAATCTCTACTCTATACGAATGAAAAATTGACATTTTCAAAAATATAGCTCTAAACACTTAAATTGTAAAACCTTTTAAGATATACTTAATAATTATGTAAAGTGAAAGTTGCATTTATATCGCAGTCAGGGAAGGTTATGTTACAAATATTAAACGCGTTCTGATGTCTATACCTTCACCTTCTACAATCTTTGTACTCTTATCCAGTTTTTTTTCGGCTACCTAAATTAATTAATTGAGCTTAGATACTCGTAAGCATTGCTACCAATATTAATATATTTATTCGTAATTTTAGTCAAGTCTCCACATGTTTGAATCGTTATAAAATGAAAATATCGTTAAGCAATGTTAAAGTATAAAATTTAAAAAAGAAAGTCAAATCATATTTTGGTCTTAAACACTTCTTTAATTTAATTTTAAGTAGGTAGCTAGGTAGGTAAATATACCTTTAAGTATACTGGTACATGGTTTAATCCAGATAGGAAGTTGTGGGATTAAAAAAGAAAGCTGCATTTAGTTATAGCTTCATAAATTTTTTTTACTCATCCATTGGAATATAACTTTTAAGCTATTAATTTTTTTGTGTCCAATTTCTTATTTTATATGCATATGGCAACTCTAATTAATAGTACAAAGACGTATGCATAAGTATATAAATGTACGCATATAATTAATTTCTTTTGTTTTACTATAAATAAGCACCTATGGTAAAAAATTGTAGTTTATACGAATAATAACCGCATTAGCACATAAGTACTACTGTTTATATTATTATAACATGTGGTTTTCAAAATGATTTATATTAATTTAAGATTTTTTTGTTAAGTTGCTGAGAAATTTAGTCATTATATTATAATTTCCAAATTATAATCTTAGAACAAAAGAATACTTTTATATTGATTTTATATGGATCATTACTCGACATGCAATATTTATATTTATAAGTAAGTAGGTGTTTGTAATACATATATTCGATATAGAATTTTCTTAACTACTCTTTATTGAACTGAAAGAAACATAATATGTACAATGCATACACGTATAAACGTATGCTAGTATATGAATTTCATTATTGAATTTAATTAAAGCTTTAATCAACATATTTAATCTTATTATTTTTACTTAAGTGTAATTAATTATAATAATGATTTATAAATATATAATATATATAATTATTTATATAACGTATATTATGATAATTAAGAAATAAAAAAAATTTAGGATATATATATATAAATAAGTATATTATTCCTAAGTTTTTTTAATGGTAAAATATGTTAATATTACCATGTCACCATATTTAAACAGAATCACATCTCTTACCATAGTAATTGGAGGAATCGGAAAGAAATTCAGTGAATTGAAGATTTTATTTTTAACAGTTTTGAAAATATAGAAGTGCTTTTTATAGTTGTTGGGACGGTTATTTGACTTTGAAGTGATAAGGTAATTTCAACTCATAGTCTAAATTTGAAAAATCTGAAATCTCATAGCCTAAAATTGAAAAATTAAAAAAAAAGGGTCTTATTATTTTCGAAGTTTTGCATGTTCCGTGTATTTGTTTGCTTGTCTTGCTTTTAAATTATAGCCACCCAAAATCTTAAAATAGCAATTTTTTGAAACTTATTTTGGACAGGTGGCTAGTTATTCATTTTTCATTGAAATATTATAAATAAATTTTGGTATTTCGAGCAAATTTTTAAATTAACTTGGGACTCTATATGCTATTATTTCGTATAGAGTTAATCAGAAATGTTCGATCCAATATTCAAGAAATTAAGAGAAATGCCTTATAAATTTTAAAAATAAGTTCTAATTTTTATTGTACCTCTTTGTTTAAATTGCAATTGCAATAAAAATTTTTATTTTTTTTTTTTGAGAACATATAAAATTTTTTTTATGAAAATAACATTAAGTATTCTACAAAATAAAATAATTAAACTTGAAGTTCATTAAAACATAACCAAAATTTTTTTTTGAAAAGAAAAAGGCAAACAATTTTTTATTTATACCAAAACGTGTTTATCTTGTTTGACAAAAACAAAATACCAAATATTTTTTGCCCTTTGTAATCATCTAACGAAAACGTGATATTTGACGGCTTTTGTACTTAACATAATAGCATAACACATAATTTATAGTGGTAGGCACTTTTAGACACATACATATTTTAAGTAAAACTATGTGTAGAATTTAAACTAAGGTATTTTAATGTGGGCTTGGTAAAAATAATGCTATCGAAGGGTAAATTAAGAACAATAAAATACAAACCCGAAAAATATGTGTACGTATGTGTAGTGATTTTAAAACAACTTCCTTTTAAACTTACCATTCGTATAATTTAAAATATGTGCATAAAAGTTCAAGGTTAATTTTAAAATCAATTGCAAAAGTGATTGTAAATTTTTATATTCCACTATAGATGTAAAAATAACGTGAATTTGTAACTTGAAACTCAAGTTATCACTTGGGAAGGAAGAAGAAAATTCGGTTAACAATATAATCAATAGGCTCGCTAGTTTAAGCTTTTTTTGACATTCTGAATAAAGAATCTCTTTTAATATTTTCAATTAAGTAACATACAAAATTTTCGGTCCCAATTCGTAACAGAACGGGTTACTGTATATTATAGTTGAATGGCTACATAATGATATGACAATAAAGTATTTAGAACACTAAATAAAATTAATAATAAAGCGTAATTAACTTTTTCATTAAAATAATAAAAATATTTTTATATTTTTATATAGAGAAATTATTTTAGGAATTTCT